TAAGTAGTTTGTCCATCAGCTAAGTAACAAACCAGCTGAATAAGTTTCCATACATGTCCAGATAGCAGGATATTGTTTTTAGCTGAAATGCTGAGGTCAAAGCGTTGGATGTTTCCTCGGTTGCGTGCCACTAATTCTGTGGAAACCTAGGAGGATAGTAGCAACGCACGAAGGCAGCCGTACCAACATACAACAACTATGCAACTGGAACTTAGAGAAATATCGGTTTTCCCTGACTTCCCCTTTTCTGCGAGGCCCGGAACTACTTATGGATCTAATATTTGACTGAGGAACAGCGTTTGTGCAAGAGAGAGTGGTAATAACCGACAAGAACTTATATAGAGCATGGCTGTACACCAAAGGGACTCAACTGTACTCACCTCCATGACTGTTGTTCGGTGCGGGTGGCTGGACACGTGGTCACCGCACTCCCAAAAATTATTCATAAGCTGAAAAGCCCAGACACCATATACCTTGAAACTTTGTTTATTTGGACACGCAACATGATGAATATACGTGAAGCTTCCATCCTTCACCGGCCTCAGCAACTATGGCGGCCGTAAACAAGCTACCTGCACAGCCAGCAGAGGAGCTTGGAAGTCATTTGACTGCTAATAACCGAGTGTGCAAACATAGTGCACGCTGAGTTGCCAGTTGTACAGTAGTGTTCAACATGCTTAACAACAGTGCTTCAGGACGCGTTGGGCTTTAGCTTGGCTAGCTTTCTCAATACACAGATCCACAAAATCCGCTTAACAACACCGCAACGTTGCAGATGTGACGCGCCACTGAATAAAGTCGCTGCCCACAACTACATACTATCAGGTCGACTAGTGCTATATTTCCAACCTTTCTCGACAAGACAAGAATAAGCTACTCTTAGCCTACATCTACCGTTTCACTTCAATTATGGTGCCTCGCCTGTTTGCACTACGCAAGCTTGAACCTACAGTATCATCGCGAAACATAACTGCCTGTAAATTTGATCGCGCCTGATTTTGTGAGCCGCGGCAACCTCGAAAATAAACTATTTATTTTTTATTTATACTTTGACTAACAAGTACGTGTTCCATAACAAATGCTTTTGGTTACCCGAAGCGTGATCGCTAACATCTTATTGGACTGAGAAAAGTCAGGATGCAAGAGGCCCATCCGACGAGAACGGGGTATCGGCGGATTGAGACTGTCGTTTAATGAAGTTGCGAAGAAGAATGGTTTGGGTCAAGTAAGGTAGAGTGGTTAGAGATGAAAGTACCGAGGCTAGTAAAGCTTGAGCATATTTAGCAGCGTTCTCGGAATGAGGAAAACCGTGCGCTTGGTAAGCAAAACTTAGCAAAACAGAAACACTTAGGAAAAGGGGGACAGATGAGACTAGCTCAAGGCACGGCACAAGGTTAGCTATCCATTTAGAAATGCAATCCAATACCGCTTTAAAGAACGGACAGGGTACGGACGAGACAGACTTTATGGATAAAGCGCTAAAAGCAAAGAAGACTTCCAAGTAATGTGAACATCCGTTAGGTCAGCCGGACAATATAAAAGAAAAAGCCGGCCTCCATTAACAATATGTTTACTCACCCGCATCATTAGCATTCGACTCTGCGACTCTTTTACATCATTGACTGGCCTCAACGACTAGTGCCGGTTCAGTACTAAGCCATTTGGCCAACCAACGAAAAGTTTGGTTGTCAACCGACTGCGAATAATAGTGTGCAAAATCGGTCTATACGATGCATTGTCGACTAGCACTACAGTTCAACGGAAGCTACGACAGTGTTCCAGGACGTGGTGGGTTTTTGCCTGGTAGGCGTTCTCCCTATACAAAGCCACAAATGTCCGCTTAACAACACTGCAACGTGGCGGATGTGACTCGTCACAAAATAAAGTCACAGCTATACATTTCACACCGACGCAGTCCTCAGCCTCCAACATCGAACCTGTGCAACTGATTTTACTATGAAGAATGCTTTAGTGGAGTACCGATCATCCCGGCTTCGTAATGGTCATTGATTGCACTAAACCTTGTTCGGGCTCCTGTGCTCATGGATCACTACATGGCAAATTTACCCCCACTTGTATCTTGACGCAACAGTTTTTGCGCGCCACGGCGCCGTTATGGTCCTTGATCTGACCATTACCTGACAATATGCTCGCTCATATGGACTACATCTTTTCGTTTATTCCTTTCATTGTAACGAAATGTTTTAATATTCCAAAGAAGCTATGCCTGTATGCATATTTGATCATGCCTTTTAGAGGTGTGTCTCGTTTTACAGAGAATATACTATTTATTTATTTATTTATTTATCCAAGCAATGTACCTTCTCAGAAGTTTGAGTGAATTCGGACAGCAGGGGGCTGATCAGGGGTGACTAGGTTAGTCGATGCGTTGGGATTAGGACGTACACATTTGCAGCCTCCTCAATATATTGCTGTACTACTGCTATGAGCACGCCTTGCATGGCGCGATACCATT